GCTCTGCCTAGTGGATGAGAGCATGGCACCCACAGAGTCTACTGAATGTCCACCTGCAGCCAAATTTTCCATAAATTTCAGAAGTTCTCAGGGCTACATCTAAGAGTCACAATGGACAGGAAGGTCCTTTCCAGCCTGCGGAAGGACTTGACTATAGGATAGGAAGAAGAGTATAATAGAATATCACTGATCAACTTTGAACCAGTAACTTACTTTTCTGTACCTCATTTCCTCATCTGTGAAATGGCAATAATAGTATGTACCTCATAGGAACTTGATATTATTCAATATCAAGTCCTTACAAACACATCTGGCACAAATAAATCACTTAACAAAAGTTAAATATAACTTCTGGTGGCATATAAGAGAGAGAATGAAAGAAAAAATGATGGCATCCCACCAGCCTACTCTTAGTTCCTTTTACACCAGCCAGACATATTGGCTGTCTTGAATTCCCCATAGTCTTTGTGCCACAGGGGCTTTGCCCATGCAGTTCACACTAAAATATTCTCTTCCCTGCCCACCCACATAACAACTACCCATCCTCCGAATCATATCCAAATCAATTCAGGAGTCGTTGTATCAGGTAAGTCTCCTCTAACACCATAGCCAGGCCAGGAGTCTTTCTCAAATAGAATCATGTTCCTTAACTTTAGGCCACTCTTCTCAGTTTATAATTATACTATGTATTAGAGTGACTGTGTGATTTATGTCTGTCTCCTTGACTAGACTTTAAGTGCCATAGAAGCAGGGACTATGCATGTTTTTGCTCACTTTTGTGTCCCTAATGCCAAGCACCGTGCCTGGAGCACACAGGAGATTTAGGAGACTAAAATAATTACCTGCTCTTAAATAAACCTTTCACCCTTTAGTGGATCAATGTTCTTTCTTAGGAGCTATCTACTTCATGGACAGAATTTTGTTTTTTTTTCCTGAATGTTAAGTATTCTAAGTTTTTCACCAAGACCACAAAATGTGTTCTGAAATGTTCCAAAGCTGTTCATAAAATGTTAAAGAACACAAAATGTCTTGTAAAATGTTCTAAAGATGTTCAGAAAATGAAGCAAGGAAAACTTTACGTTAATATGACAATACTTACCAGACTTTCCTCTTGCTGCCAGGGACACAATGAACATTAGGTTTGAACAACTCTGCAACTAACCAGCTTTTATTAGTAACTTGAAATTGACATACTGACAATTGCCAATTCCTAAGTGATTATTCTGGGTTAACCATCTAAAGTAGCCTTATACAAGGTAGAAGGTAAAAAAGCTTATGCTTCCTGAAATGTATAATGCCCAGGTTAAGTTCTCAAACACCCACATCACATTAAGGACTCAGATGGCAGGCCAAAGACCAACAACTGATACAACTGGGGGTGTGGATGAGATAATTTTCTCTGTGCTACCCTGGTATAAACTGAACCATTTAAAAACATTACATTTAATCTGGATCAGGACAAATATTTTCCTCCTAGGATTAGATAGGAGTGGTCAATATACACAAAACCTGTAATACTCACATAATTGAAGTTTACCAAATAAGCATCAAATTATATCCTGAGGAGGCTACTGATTGGTATAGGCACCCATAATTGAAGTAAGGAGCTGGTAAACAAGTGAACAAAGGTGTTAAACATTTGGAGCCCCTGAGAGATGTGGACTTGAAAAGACAGTGCTAAAGATTAAGGTGATAAACTACTCCAGTCTTCTGTTATTTTTTTAAAAGTTCCCTATATTTCTTTGCCTGGAGCATTATAACTTACACTGCTCCCTACCCCTTATTTGTACCACACTTGCATATCAATGTATTCCAATAATTTTTAAACCAACAGTTTTAACTAAACTTGCAGTTGTTCAGTGAAAAGAGTCAAATGGCCTGAACCCAATTTGGGGCCTATCACTTATCAACTCTTTGGGTAACTCAGCCTCTCTGGACCATAGCTTCTTCAACTGTAAAATGAGAGTAAAAACCTCCTTAGAGAGCTATTGTGAGGATTGGAGCTTCTTTTTTTTTTTTTTTTTTTGCGGTACGCAGGCCTCTCACTGCCGTGGCCTCTCCCGTTGTGGAGCACAGGCTCCGGATGCACAGGCTCAGCAGCCATGGCTCACGGGCCCAGCCGCTCCGCGGCATGTGGAATCTTCCTGGACCGGGGCACAAACCCACGTCCCCTGCATCGGCAGGCGGACTCTCAACCACTGCGCCACCAGGGAAGCCCCAGGATTGGAGCTTTTATACACAGCTTATCACAAAGTAGGCCTTCAAGAAGTGGTAGCAGTTGCTATTAGGAGTTATGTGTCCTAATAATAAGAAGAATGGTAGTAAATTAAATATAATTCATTGTTCTATGCAGTTCTTCAAACATACTTGGTATTAAAGAGCCTCCAACTAAAACAGAGGGATGGGATGGGTTGTAAGGTTATCAATTTTCATTTTATACCAAACAGTTAAGGAGTTCAGTTTAATTTAGTTTGATCTTAGTTGTTAGCAGGGAAGGGAGAGCTCTTTATTTCCCTCAAGGTGATGGTCAAATAGCTGTAGCAAGGCCCAGGTTTAACTTTCAGTTAGTCAAAAATTAAGAGAAAAACTTTGGAAAGTAATCTTCCCCTTCCCGTGAAGTTTCTTTTAATGTTCCTTGATATTTTAAAAGCAATATCTGCTAATTGAGGGGCAGTCAAAATAACCAAAAAGGACTTACAAATACAAAGTTTGATCTCATCTTAAATTTTTTTCCAACAGGAAGAGAATATACTTCTTTTTTTAAAATAAATTTATTTATTTTATTTTTGGCTACGTTGGGTCTTCGTTGCTGCACGCGGGCTTTCTCTGGTTTCGGCGAGCGGGAGCTACTCTTCGTTGCGGTGCACGGGCTTCTTGTGGTGGCTTCTCTTGTTGAGGAGCAGGTGCTCTAGGCGCGAGGACTTCAGTAGTTGTGGCTCGTGGGCTCTAGAGCGCAGGCTCAGTAGTTGTGGCGCATAGGCTTAGTTGCTCCGCGGCATATAGATCTTCCCGGACCAAGGCTCGAACCCGTGTCCCCTGCATTGGCAGGTGGATTCATAACCACCGCGCCACCAGGGAGGCCCCGAGAATATACTTTTTAAAGCATTCTTTTAAAATAAACAGGAGCGGGCTTCCCTCGTGGCGCAGTGGTTGAGAGTCCGCCTGCCGATGCAGGGCACACGGGTTCGTGCCCCGGTCCGGGAAGATCCCACATGCTGCGGAGCGGCTGGGCCTGTGAGCCATGGCTGCTGAGACTGTGCGTCCGGAGCCTGTGCTCCGCAACGGCAGAGGCCACAACAGTGAGAGGCCCGCGTACCGCAAAAAACAAAAACAAAAAATAAACAGGAGCCACAGCAATGGAAGTTAAAAAAAAAATAGCATCCAGTCTTTCCATCTCACTAAAAACAAGGCTTGTTAAAGAACAAAAAAGTTGGCTAGGGCTTCCCTGGTGGCGCAGTGATTGAGAGTCCGCCTGCCGATGCAGGGAACACGGGTTCGTGGCCGGTCTGGGAAGATCCCACATGCCGCGGAGCGGCTGGGCCCGTGAGTCATGGCCGCTGAGCCTGCGCGTCTGGAGCCTGTGCTCCGCAACGGGAGAGGCCACAGCTGTGAGAGGCCCGGGTACCGCAAAAAAAAAAAAAAAAAAAAGTTGCCTTGTCAGAGTAAAAGACCACGCACTGGGGCGGGAGCAGAGAAATGCTATACACCAGCCACTTCTGGCCACTCATATTTGGTTTAGATAACATGGAGGAACCACTAACATTGTAAACAACTGCTATTAAGTGAAAATGGGGAGGAGGGTTCTGACGGGTTTCAAAGAGAAAGCTTTAAACTCTTAAGCTATTTCTCAAACACCCAATAACATTTAGCCGGTGGGAAAAGCATAATACAGTGTGGTCCTATTCAAGCACCCTTCAACACCAGGAGTCACACCATCCACCCACTCCCACCTACTTGCAGGGGACCAAACGTCTTCCCTAAAGACCCAGAGTGGGGAGGGAGTGCTGAGCACTGCCTCTTCTCTTGTGGGCAGGGACAGACTTTGGCCCTCTAAGATAAGGAGGTAGAGAAGCCGTAACCAAATAGGCCGCCTAAAGAACAGCTGCCACCCAATGCCTGGGCAGGCAGCAGTGGAAGTGTAAAGGCAGCCTGGGTTCTGTGCCTGGGATACAAAGTTGGTCGCTCAGATTCCCCAGGGCATGGCAGTCACAAAGCATGGTAAGTGAAATGCTCCAAAAAGGGCTAAGGGAGAAAATTTGGCGCAACGCTCCAGGTACCTGGGCAGAAGCTCCCACGATGGCATTCACTGAGGCCACCCCCCCGGAATAAAGGGAAGAGTCTGAGAATGGTAGGGTGGACGCACGTACAATGATGTGCTCCTCAAACTGAGGGATGGCAGCTCTGTCACCAAAGGGGGCAAGCCGCCCCTTCCCCTACGTAAGTCTTACCGGGCGGCCCCGCACGTCCTAAAGGCGGGCGCTACGGGGCAGAGGCGGGCAGGCGCAGGCAGCGGATTGCGGGCCTGGGCGCTGCCCACCTGCTCAGACTCGAGGGGCGAGAGCGGGGTCACCAAGGGCCCGCAAAGCCGAGCCGGGACTGCGCAGGTCGGCGCCCCGGGGGCCCATCTCACCTGCTACGGCTGCATCCCGGGGCCGCGGGAGAAGGGAGTCGATGTTCGAGGTGGGCCAAGCAGGGAGGAAATCACCGTCACCTCCCACCCCAGCCCTCCTAGCCGAGAGCTGCCGGCTGCCAGCTGCCCGCTATAGCAGCTCATTCACATTCCGAAAAAGTGAGGCGCTCATAAGCTGGGACCGGGTCAGCTCCTCCCTGAGCCGCCGCCCCGCCTCCTGGCCCCGCCCCCGGCCGGGGGAACCACAGAGCCGCGCCGTCCAAGGCCCCGCCTTCAGGCTCCGCCTCCCGCCGCGAGACTCAACGCCGCGCGGCCTCGGCCCCGCCCCTGGCTCCGCCCCCGACCGCTGAGACGCGGGGGCCCAAGGTCCTCCGCTACGCCAGCCTCCAGCCGCAGGCTGCGAGCTTCCCAGCCGCTAGACGCCGGCGGCGGGACTTCCGGCCGTTCGGCTCCCGCAAAATGGCGGCCGCCGTGAGGGTTTTGACGTTTCGTTTTCCTCTCCGTAAATTCAGGTGTAGAAGCCTCTTGCCTTTCCGCCTAACCCCAGCCTCGTGTGGTCTGTCAAGTCCTCTCTTGATTAGCCTAGTCGTTTTTATAGCACAGTTTAAAGCAAGGTCTTTAATCGTGGGTCAGACTCCTGCCTTTCACCTTTCTCAAGGCAGTGTGACCTTGACCTTCCTAAATCAGAGACTAAAATGTCTGTAAAGCTTTAGCCCTGTGCTTGGTTTAGAATAAGCATCCAGACCCTGACTGCTTGTGTTTTCTATTGTCGGGGGAACGACATCCATATCCCCTCAGTGTACTGAGCGGAAACTGTATTGGTGGAAAACTTACAGAGCAGGAACTGAATATATAGAACCTGAATTCTGCTCCTGTTCTCACTTCACCCTTGTTCTCTATCTTCTTAACTTTTAATAGCTTCCCTGTTTCCCTTGAACCTGGATGCTATTTTTTTTTAATCTCCTGATTATATCTCAAAGCTAAAAGGATTTGTGTTTAGAAAGTATGGAGATTAATTCAATTAAATAAATATTTATTCAGCTTTGACTTCTAGCGGAATACTGGAAGATAGACCTGGAAAGGTAAGTTAGGGTGAACCTGTAGGAAGTTCCTTAGGTTAGCCTTACAGTTTGGACCCATCCTCTGACCACAGTAAAACCATCAAATTCTTTTTTCATGAAAACATGTCTTAGTGATCACACTATTTTCGGATATGCAATCTGGAAGCTTTCCCAGGATTAGCTGAAAGACTGAAAGCAGGAAAAACATGACTTTGGGAAAAACCAAGCCACGAGGAAATAAAGATGTACCCTGGGGAGGTGGTAATGAAAAGAATGAAAGAGGCTTGAGAGACATTACAAAAGGAGAACTGATGGGACTGGATTACTGATAGGGCAAGAAAAGGAAGGAGATAATGAAGGTATGTATTTGTTCATCCATCATACTAAAGAAAAGGAATTGAGCTAGGGAGACTCTAACATCCTTATTAGTTCTAAAGTTCTGTTTCCTATCGTTCTGTTATCTGAAGATGAAAGGAAGAAATGTTTCAAGTGAGGGAAGTGGTTACAAGAAGATAATGAATTTGGTTTTAGGCCTAAAATCTAAAACCTCAAGAAACTTAGTTTAGTCTCCTCTCTTGAAGAAGTTATCGTCATCTTTATTTGAGGTCCTGGAGATTAGGTCATTGATCTAAGAACAGCCAGCAAGTGAATGAGAGTGTAAGTGCTCACTGTCCTGTGAACTAACTGCTCATGAAGGTATCAGCACATGTAAGTAGAGATTTCTAGTAGACACCTAAAGAGAAAACAGAAGCTCAAGAGAGAGAAAAAACAGAGCCAAAGGTGTGGTTTGGAGACATCTGTATGGAGTGGACAAGTAAGAGCAGCTGGCAGGAGGGACAGTGACTCTAGGAACAAAGTGTTTACGGAATTGAAGGACTTCATCAAAAAGTCATTCTTAGATAAGCAATTACTGATGAATGCCATAAGGTACTAATTTAATTCCACTATCATGTCTGCCAGTCATTCTGTGAGATGCTGACCTATACTGTTAACTGAAAATAGGAAGTGAAAAGCACAACACCTAAGATAACTTCTGTTAACGTTTTACTACATATGTATCACTTTTTCCTGTGCATATATAAATCAGTGAAGAAAAATAGGGTCATACAATACACATTATTTTTCATATAGATGATTTTTAGTAACCTTTTTCATTTAATATATAACCTTTTTATTCAGAAATATAGATCTGTGTCATAATTTTCAATACCTATTTAATATTCTGTATCAAAAATTTGAGGATGATCTCCCTTGAAAAATTTGGACTCTGGGCCATCCATAGAGTCTAATCAAAGATGAGTAAAGAAGAGGAAGATAAAATAGTACAAGTGTTTAGAGTGACTTAAAATGTGTTGTTTGAATATGTCTAAAATGATTTCTAGTTTCTTCAAAACTGCCTGTCCCCTTCCTGTCAGTACCAGTTTCTCCTTAGAGATTCATATGATTCCAGAGAAGCTAATCTCACTCCGCCTTCAAAGGTGATGTAACTAACCTATGCTAACCAATCAGTATGTTCTGTTCGTTGGACTCAATCATTGAGTCAGGATGGGCATTGGCACCAAGGTGTTTTGATAGAATGGCTCTTAGAACATTTGCTGATAATGCTGACTTTCTTTTCTACTGCCAGGAAGATACTAGCAGCCATCTAGGGACCATGAGAGGAACCAGTCTTAGAATGATGCAGACACCAAGGAAAGCACAGCAGAGGGAAGGAAATAAACGGGTCCTTGATGACATATTGAGTTGTAGGATCAGCTTCACCTGAAGCCAGTCAACCTGTGGACTTCGCACTCATGTGAGCCAATCAATTTTCTTTATTGTTTAAACAAGTTTGAGTTGGGTTTTCTGTTACTTGAAATCAAATGTATAAAAAAAATTCTAGAAGAAAATGCCAATAGTAATTATCTTTGAGTGATAAAAATACACTTTTTTTTCTGTGTAGAAAAGTTCCCAAAATTTCTACCAAAAAATGTGTATGTATTTTATCAGGAAAAAGTCTGAAATAAGTCATTAAGTATATATTTTGGCTATATGGAAATGTTGAACCATAATAGTAAATATTTTTCTAAAATTCACTGCTAAGTATTAAACCAGGTAGGTGTACAAAATCCACCTATAAAATAGAACAATTTAAGGGCACTGATACAGTGCAATATATGAACTTACACAAGGCTAAGGCCTTGTTTTTGTTAATCTGTGTATCCCTAGCATTTATAATAGTGCTTTCCATGACATACAGCAGCTGTTCCATAAATGGTTTTTGAATGACTGAATAAAACATAACTGCCTGCCAGCTATCCAAGATACCTTCTTTGTATTCAATGGGAATGATGGGGCTTGGGGCAGGCCGTTCCCAAATAATGCCAAGGTGGCATATTGATTATTTTGATTTAAAGTTACTTGAGAAACAGCTTGTATAAGAACACTCTGACCCTCCTTTTTTCCCCTGAAAGCAGGAAACAAAGCTCCCATAGGAAGGTATCCTCCGTATGCCATGAGGATGAAAGGCATTGAGATAGGGAATTTGAGTCTGGGAAAGGTGTATAAACAAACTTTGTTACTCCTTCATTAATTTGCTACCCCAAGCAAAAACCCCTTTGTTTTGTCAGATCTTCACAAATGTTTGATTCTTTTTCTAAAAAGGTATGTAAACAGCCTGCTTTGTTCTCTTCTTAGGTATGTATGAAGTTAAATTTGTTTTTCTCTTGTTAATCTTCCTTATGTTAATTTGATTGTTAGACCAGTGGAAGGAACCTAGAAGGGAAAGGAAAATTTTTCTTCCCCCACAAGAAGCTATTTGATACAAGCAACTGTGGTATAGCTCTTTTATAGTGACTGGATTTCTTATTTTCTCCAGCTTTTCACTTGGCCCAGGTTTATATCTTTATATAAACATTCTCTGAAACTATGGCTTCTGTTTGTTATTTTTTTTAATTTTTTTTTTTTCTGTACGCAGGCCTCTCACTGTTGTGGTCTCTCCCGTTGCGGAGCACAGTCTCCGGACACGCAGGCTCAGCGGCCATGGCTCACTGGCCCAGCTGCTCCGCTGCATGTGGGATCTTCCCGGACCGGGGCACAAACCCGTGTCCCCTGCATCGGCAGGCGGACTCAACCACTGCGCCACCAGGGAAGCCCTGTTTGTTATTTTAAATGCTATAATTATTTTAATATCTGATCTGTCAAGATAAAACCCTGAAAATTATCTTTTAATTTAATATTGTGTTTTTGTAAATACATAATAACTTTTTCCCCTTTTCAATTTGCTATTAAAATATTCTTACAGGGTTTCTGGGTTGGTGGGCACATGGAGGTACCTGGAGAGTGGCTCATCCAGAGAGGGCATGGAAGCTCCATACCCCTTCCCACATACTGTGCCCTATGCATCTCTTCCATCTGGATGTTCCTTCATCATATCCTTTTATAATAAACTGGTAAAAATAAATATATATAGATTTTATATACACATGTAATATGTGTATTATATATCTATTCTTACAAAAGCAGTGAGGGAAAATAGAATCTAAACATCTCACCTTGTTATTGATCTTATTGACTTCAGGTAAGGCTCAAATGTAGTTACATAGGCAAGGGCTTTTGTCTGGGCCAGCACTTAAGAAGTTTTAAGCAGAAAAACAATGAAACCAGAATTAGGTTATGAAACTGAAAGTTAAATCAATGATTTAGATAAGAAAGGGTGGAGAAACCATGCAATAGCAAGATGATGACTTTGGAGCCCATCCTGTTTGTCTCAGGATTTAGCTGCTTGATACTTGTGGTTTTGTTTTGATCTTTTTTTTTTGTAAAGGGGTTAGAGATCAGGTAAATGGGAATGAAAAACAAACAAACAAAAAATACTCCTGTTTTTACTGCTACTCTGTTCAGTTAAAAATGTGCTCACAAATTTGTGTAATAGGCAGTCACTCAACAAAGAATCTTATAAATGTGCAGAACATTTTGTAATTTGAATTATGTCTAAGATGAAACACCATAGAACTAACAAATTTTGTATGATATAAAGAGGAAGTGGCAAAACCCTCAGATTTAGTTTTGACTTTGGAGTAAGAAGTTCTTTAGCTGATTCTAGTTAAAACCTGGGTGGAACTTTTGAGTAAATAGCTAATTCAAAAAAAGGTTATCTATCATATCCTCAGCATAACAATTAAGCACAGACCTCAGAAGCACTCTTCCAGTAGAGTATGTGTTTCAGGAGTTCAACTGTCCTTTCCTCCTTGAAGGGGCAGGCACTCTATCTGTGTTGATTTCCATAGTATCCTCAGTACCTGGAACAGTGCTTGGCACATAGTAGGCACTTGGTAAATGTTAACCTACCAACTCTTGGAATGCCAGCTAAACATGTTTATGAAATTTCTGTATTTAGAGAACTTAGAACGGAAACACCTGCTCTTTCTTGTGCTGCTTCTTTCAACTATTAACAAAAATAACTGAAGGGGCTTCCCTGGTGCAGTGCAGTGGTTGAGAGTCCGCCTGCCGATGCAGGGGACGCGGGTTCGTGCCCCGGTCCGGGAGGATCCCACATGCCGCGGAGCAGCTGGGCCCGTGAGCCATGGCCACTGAGCCTTTGCGCCCAGAGCCTGTGTTCCGCAACGGGAGAGGCCACAACAGTGAGAGGCCTGCATGCCGCAAAAAAAAAAAAAAAAGTAACTGAAGGAGAAGTATCAGAACTCAAGTCTCTGTGTAGCAGCAGAGGAACCAGATGGTTTTGTGACTGACAGTGGCTGGAAAAGCCAAATCATGAGGAATTATCATTGGATGTGACATAGCATAAATGTGATAATGTCCCAAGAATCAATTCTACAAATATTTTAATGTCCTCAGAATTCCAAAAGTTATTTAGACTTTCCTTTTACCTTAACTTCTATGCAAGCTTTCCCTAAGCCATTCCAAAAAGTTGAAACAGGAAAGAGAACTTAAGACTTCTGAACTACAAGAACATTACCCAGACTGGGTCAGAAAGAGGCCTGGGCACTAGGTTTGGAGACAGTTGTTCTTGGAGAATAAAACTGATAAAAGTAAGTTTCTCAGTGCAGTGTTAATTGGCACCTAGGCTTCTATAGCCTATAGCTAATATCACTATTAACTATATCCTCAAGTCTGGCTTATTATTAGTTCTAACGGCCTACCTCAAGCCCTCTCCCGTGGGTGTACATAAACATTTTGGAGACAAGATGCTTATAGTAATGCTAACATTTGATAAAATTCTTAGAAAAGTCTTAGAAATTTAATTTCATATGTTGCCTCAGTAACTGGTCAAGGATTTTGTTTTTTAACATAATAGTTTTTGTCAAACAAAGAGCTACTATTAAAAGTTTAAGCCCAGAGGTATACATTTTATAAAATGTTACAATGAAGCTCATGACTGACCTTTGAATGGTAGGAGTTTTAAGTATGCTGTTGAAAATCTGTAAAGGACAGTTAAGAAAATTATCAGACTGTAAGAGAAATATGTGAGCTCACCAAACAAGAGTTTTAGTGTAGACTTTGTCTTTTTTATTTATTTATTTTTGGCTGCGTTGGGTCTTTGTTGCTACGCACAGGCTTTCTCTAGTTGCAGTGAGCAGGGGCTACTCTTTGTTGTGGTGCACAGGCTTCTTATTGTGGTGGCTTCTCTTGTTGTGGAGCACGGGTTCTAGGTATGTGGGCTTCAGTAGTTGCAGCTGGTTGGCTGTCTTTGTGGCTTGCGGGCTCTAGAGCGCAGGCTCAGGAGTTGTGGCACACGGGCTTTGTTGCTCCACGGCATGTGGGATCTTCCCGGACCAGGGCTCGACCTGTGTCCCCTGAATTGGCAGGCAGATTCTTAACCACTGCACCACCAGGGAAGTCCCTAGACTTTGTCTTTATCAAATGAAGTTAAAGGAACAAGTTAAAGTTTGAATGGAAGAGCCTTCCCTTGTTCCACATCCGGTTGTTGCTGTTTGCATTCCTTTATTGAGCCTACATCTTCATAAGCTTTTTGGCAGGTATATGTTGAACACTTCTGTTTCATGGTCAAGACAGGATCAGAGGCCATGGATACTGACAACTGATTTGTCTGTTTTCTTCTTTTTCCATGACTGTATCTACTGCCTCATCTTGATTTACAAGCAAAACCTAGAAAACCTACAAAAATAAGTGTTTTGTGGTTTATCTAGCAATAATACAGAAAATATTGCTTTTATTTTTGGTGTAGAAAATCAATTTTGTATAGTTTATTTCAACCTAAATAAAATGTGAATTTCGTTTAAAGAAAAAATTGTTTAAGCCCAATATTTGCCATAGTGAATGTAATTGTTTATTTTAGAGGCAAAAGGAGACTATCCCTGAGTGCAATTGAAACAGTTTTTAGAAATCTTCAAACCCAGGCAGTGATCCCAGAGAAATTCAGAAGCATCTCCCTGAATCTTTCTTCTCAGCCACTTTAATCTCACTCGTCCAACCATGTGTGTCAGAAATTAGAGTATGAAGGAAATGACCATTTTTCTTGTTTGTCCGAAATTCCTCTGCTAACTTTGGAAGGTGGGAAGCAGGAAAGAAGCATGACCTCTGTTACAGGGAGTTTAGCCTGTGTGAAGAGGTTGGAGAGGAAAAAGCCTTCATGACTTTTCGTAGTGGCTAGTTCAAAAAATGTAGAGGGTTCATGAAAGTAATTACAGAGTAACCTGAAGAAGAGAAATTTGTCTCCTCCACTCTTGGAAAGGGAAATAAGAGAAGCTTTATATAAGTCCCTCTGAGGGGAGGCGACCAATGGGAAGCTGTTGCTAAGGGGCCAGCTGGTGCAGGGATTATGCTGTAGGTAAT